TTCGCCAATGCATATATCGTTGTTTCAAGTCTGAACACCTTTCACACTACGCAAACTGGCTTTATTCTAAGCCGCTCTGATTGACAAATTATCGATAATATTCGAGTAGATAAAATATTCATAAGTATCCAATTTATTGAATTAGTGTGACAGATCATACACTTCCTGAAATTAACAGGTGAATATGTCCAATATAATAATATATCCAACATCTTCATTTCTTCACAGTGTTTTCCAAACAAAAGGGATAGTTTGGCAGTGGTTATTCCCTGGAATGGGCAAATATTCTGTTCTGTCTTTGTTTTCAAAAAATTACGTCAATTCGAGGAGAGAAAGGGTAGAGAAAGGCAGAATGATTATTTATTTTAAGCGATGAAACAAATCCGAAAAATAAAATTTCGGTAAAAAGTTTAGAACGCACATTTTTCTGGAAGTCATTAGCTCTTTGCATTCGACAATATGTCACATGCGAAACCAATGTAAAAATGAGTTTCATTCCAACACTTTGCTGAAGCGTTCGATGTTTTCACCTGCCACATGCAATGCGTCATTTCGACGTTGTAAGTAGACAACACACGGGTAGTGCTCAAGCACAATGTGTTACTCATTCAAAAAGTATAAACTTGTCGGTGTAACTCACATAGTAACCTTAAAAACATTGTCCTGAGTACTTATGAAACAACACACGATTAGATTCACAAAGATGATGCTGCCTTGCATGAACAAAAATAAAGGGTTGTCCAATAGGGACGCAGGAAAGTAAACGTCAATTTGACATAGACGCCATCTTTGTTTTCTGTCACCGACATGTCATTTTGTTAGTTGAATGTTTACCATTGATCGCTATGGAGTCATATTCGATTGAAGACCGCATTAAAGTTATTCAAGAGCACTACAAAAATGGTGCAAAATAAAAAACACGTTTCGCGCGCTTCGTGAACATTTCGGTCGCAACAACCTCCCAAACGAAACAACCATCGGTCGTCTGGTGCGTAAATTCGAAGCAACAGGTTCTGTGGCAAATCTGCCAGGCTCTGGCCGGCCAAGGAGCGTTCGCACACCGGAAAATATTGCTGTTGTGAAGGAGAGTGTGAGAGACGATCCGAAACAATCAACAACGCGTCGATCCCAAGAATTGCGCATTTCGAGAACCAGTTTGCTCCGCATTCTCCACAAGGATTTGTATGTACACGCCTACAAGATCCAATTGACGCAAGAGCATTTTTCGCGCCGAACGTTCTCAGATTGCTCCTTGAACACCGCCAAATTGATGCCAATTTTTCATCAAAAATCGTGTTCAGCGACGAAGCGTATTTCACTTTGAATGGGACGGTAAACAAGCAAAACTGCCGCATCTGGGCGAACGAAAATCCCCGTGAGTATCAAGAGCAGCCGATGCATCCTCAAAAAGTGACTGTGTGGTGTGCATTGTGGTCAAAAGACATCATCAGGACCTTACTTTTTCGAAAATGCGGCCGGGGACGCCGTTACCGTCAATTCTGAGCGATATCACGTGATGATAGAGGACTATTTTTTGCCGCAACTTGAAGGAATGGATATGGACGATGTTTATTTCCAACAAGACGGTGCAACATGCCACACAACCAACGTCAATATCCATCGATTGCAGTCCTTCTTCGGTGATCGCGTGATTTCGCGCAGAGGAAATGTGCCATGGCCACCAAGATCGTGCGATTTGACTCCCTTGGACTTCTTTTTATGGGGATATTTGAAAAGCACAGTCTACGTCAACAAACCAGCCACCCTCCAAGAACTCAAAAATAACATCATTGCCGAGATAAATGCCATAGAACCGACCATGTTGCAAAATGTCATTGAAAATTTCGACCATCGCGTGGACGTCTGTAAATCCAGTCGTGGTGAACATTTCAGCGATATTATTTTTCATACATAAATGGTATAAATGAACCTTCAAAATAAAGTACCCAACTTGATTTAAATATCAATCTTTCTTGTTTTAATATGCGTTTACTTTCCTGCGTCCATTTTGGACAACCCCATATAAGTATTGCAACAACACGGAAGCATCTGTAGACAATAAATTAATTTTTTGTTAGAAAGTTTATACAAGTCACGCAATATTCCATGATCTATTTACCTCAGGTAAGTGGTTTTAACCAAATTTGTTGTGTGTGAATCCTCATTATCATGATCACATGGATACAAAATACATTTCTTTTTAATAAAACTATTCTGCAGGAATACATTGTTACTTAGTTTGTTCATTTGAATGATCATAGCTGTAATTATTCGGTGCATTATTGGAGTGATATTTTTATGACCATTCCTCTCGTCTTGATTTATACCAATCACAAACGCACAAAACTTGACAGCTGAAAAAATACCTTTCATAGCATGTAATTATGGTCTTCTAGGACACCAGAAAACGACGGTAAACAATTTTTCCGATTTTGTAATACAGGGTGGCGCATCGAAAACGAAACAGACGCATTTACTGGCAGGTCAGTTTTTTTTAAACGCTCAGACCCGTCGATTTTGTTTTCGAGGGGGACACAAGTTTGGCAAAAAATCACGTTAGCACGTGCAGCCCCCTGAGCGGGGGTGACACCATCCCCAAAATCTTAAATGGAAAGGGGGGTCGAGTGATACCTTATTTTAAAGGTCCTTCAATTCCCTTTATAATGATATAAAATTAATGTACTTCAGTTCAGTAGTTTTGAAGATTTATTGATTTGAAGCTTAAAGTAGACTTTAATAGGTACATCATAAAAAACATAAAACTGAGCTACCAGTAAATGCGTCTGTTTCGTTTTCGATGCGCCACCCTGTATTGTTTTTAAACAGAGCTAGTCAGCTTATGTAGTGAAAATAAGTCGCTTTGGAAGTGATTCTTTGGCTAATATTGACCTGGCGATTGAGAAAAATGTACCGTACAATACAGTTAAAACCCATACGTCAATATTTTAATAAAAAAATCAGATGCTCTCATGATATTACTTATAAAAAAAAGTTGTATTTGAGCCACATGTATAGGTATAGCTGTTATACAGGGTGTCCGCAAAGTTGGGGTTTTCCTTTTCAGAAACGACTGCCCTTGAAATAACAAAGGTAATGTGTAGTGAAACGAGGGCGACCAAGTAAAAAAAAATAAAGGAAAAAGTACTCACTCTCCAGTTGACGAGAAGGGCTAAGTACGTCTCTGCCCGAAATCATACCGCTCTAACAGAAAGTGAAATCAGCTGATGCGCTACCGAGCAGACGCAGGCAAACAAGGAAGCCAAAATGTTGCGTAAAAAGTCTAGGTATTGCATCCCGTCCAATCAATTTGGGAGAATACATGGTCCAATGAGCATATCGTTCACCATGCCAGCCCAAACATTCACCGAAAATGTTCGTTGAAAATGTGCCCGACGGACAGCGTGCGGATTTTCTACTGACCAAACATGAGTGTTGCGAAAGTTATTCACCCCATTACGCGTGAACGTAGACTCGTCTGTCACCAATATGCACTTCAAAAAGTCCGGATTATTGTCATGTTGATGCAACAACCACTCACAAAACCGCACTCTTGCTGGAAAATCGTCAGGTTGAAGGGCTTGTACACGTTGGACGTGAAACGGATACAGCCTCTCTTCACGCAGCGTTTGCCACACTTTAGTTTTTGATACTTGCACTTCTCTAGCCACGTCTCTAGTGCTTGTTGAGGGATTCTCGTCTACGCGATTAGCTCTACACGCGTGACCGTAACCGTCGGTTGAAGGTCGCATACTGACCTGATACACTGACTCCGACCCAGTTCTATCGTCGGGTTTAGCTAGTGTCCTAGTACCACTCGGGGATGTCGCGGCTACAGGACGGTACTCAGATATTTTTGATGTTGCAGAGCCCTTTATCTCGATTCCCTTAAGACATTGGTGTATATGGTACTAAGAAAAATTGATTATGTTTTCAAGATCTACACGTCGTGTAAAGGAAAACCCCAACTTTGCGGACACCCTGTATTTTCTACATAATCCATTAAGCACTGAATTTTTTATTATTGCAACAATAGGTCAGAAAGCTACTGTACATCAATAATCTATCTTGTTACATGCGAGTACTTGTGCATACAGTGCCTTTCAGAAAGGGTCAAGTTAGGAAGCTGATATTAGTATTGATGCATTGACGCATATTTTAAAGCATGAATAACAGTTGAAAATATCAAGATGGCGGCTGGGTGCCATTTTGTAACATTTTTTCAAACAGAAAGGGGTGTTAAGTAAATCCTTATAGGTACTTCATAAACCCAGAATATAAAATAACTACCTTTCAAAATAGCGGTCTGCGAGCCTTTCAGTGTTGAACGCTTTGCACTTTGAATCACTTACAACCTAACAATTAATCAGTAAAATGTTATAGTATATTATACCAATATCATTATTTTGGAAGGATCTATCTGTATCTGCGGTAACAGAAAAATAACAGTTTCTGCCAATTTTCTTAATGGAATGTTCCATATTTCATTATAAGCTCGGATAGACACACACAATACATTCCTGTGGCTTCTTAGCCTCTTCATTCACCTGGCTTGAGTCCTTGTGACTTTTGTCTCTTCCCGAAGTTAAAAATCAGCTCAAGTGGGTCAGTCGAAAACATTCAAACGGCTGTAACAGCTCAAGGCGAGGAGTGAAAGAACCGACTCTAGCGGATAGGAAGGAAATAATTTTGAGAGTGTCAAAATTGTAATTATATTTTAATAAAAAAATCAATCTCATCACCTAATTCACAAACCTCGGATTATGTAAGCTTTTAATTTATACCTATGGGAGCACCATTGACAACTACCAACCATAAAAACCATTCCCTTCAGGCTTTTCCAACCGATTTTAATCCCATAAACCAATCAATATTGCATTCTTTTTTTTAAGCAATAAAATGAACTTTTTTCTGTTCCAATCTCCCCCAAGAATATTCAAAACGGCTACCAACAGGCGTCACACCTACTTTATTCTACAATTTCACGATTCAATGTCACTTACCTTGACAGCCGAAACAGGAAATTGTTTCAGTTTGGAATTCCTTATGTACAGCTCGTTAAGAGTGTAGTTGATTCCAAGAAAAGTATGCTCTTCTACGACCTCTATCGGAGTATCGAGTATATGCAGCACCTTCAAGATTAACTTGTGGAACAGACTACCATACAGTCGGGCTGAAAGAAAAAAATATTTTAGTTATAAACTGAGAATGCAAGACGTAAAAATACGGGGAGGACTGCCTGTCTTTGAAAAATGTACGGACCTTTTCCTGCAACAACCGAAGACCAAAGAAATGACGATCGAGTAGCCAAAATTGAAAGCATAACATACATATGAGACAGCTTGAAAGATGAAAGTACGCGGTTACTCTATTCCTGGATTGAAACAAACGTTGACGAAAACACAGCGGAAGAATATGAGCACACAAACTCTTGTATTAAAGGTGCAGCATAGGCGTTAGAAAGAGAGAATCGAGAGAGCAATAGACCATATTGGGGGGACAACGACATTGAATGGAAGATCAAAGAACAAAATCAATTGTACCAAAAGCTACTTCAAAACGGAGATGATGGAACAAGAACAAGATTTAGACGTTTAAATAGAGAATCCAAACAAGAAATGATCGAAAAGGATAACATGGAGAGCATATTTACAACCAAATAGGGGACACTAAGAATTTGGAGGGCGCGAAGAGCTGTAAGGGTAGAGGTAGATGCTGTGTAAGGGAGAAGTGCATTTGGTCAAAAATCAAGGGAAAAGGGTCATAGGTATAGACAGATACACCCATCGATTTTTCGCCCAGTTTAAATGGTTTTATTTTAATAAAAGTTGGTGAATGTATTTATCTTACTGTAAATAACAAGTGAAAAAATGTTCAGCCTTATCAGTTGGACATTCCGGTTTTATACTGCTTTTTTTTAATTCACTAACGCTCTAAAAATGAATATTTCAGCCGCAGTAAAGAATCAACGTTGGCGGATTTTGGTTCTTGACATCCTTTACGATCGGTTACGATGCCTAGAGTACGGAGACCTGTACGATTTCGTCAACTTAGTGAGTTTGATAGGGGCCGTATAGTGGGACTTCGGGAAGCTGGACTTTCTTTTTGGGCAATTGCAGTTAGAGTGCAAAGAAGTGTAGACACTGTGGTTAGGTGTTGTCAGGCATGGCTTCGAGAAAGCCGTACGAAAAGAGCAAGGGGCACTGGACGCCGCCGTAGAACAACAGACCGTGAAGATCGCCGCCTAAGATTATTGGCCTTAAGGGGCCGTTTCTCCACTACCAGGTCCATTGCAAATGAATGGTTTGCAGAACACGGAAGACCTATTGGTATGCGAAGTGTTTACCGACGAATGAGAAGTTTTGGCTTGTTTTCATTCCGGCCACACTGGGTCCTCCCTTTAACTCGAGAACACCGACGTAATCGCCTTGAGTAGTGCAGACAACGGTCACTCTGGTATCAGGAATGGAACAGTATTGTCTTTAGTGACGAGTCTCGATTTTGTTTAGGCATGCACGATGGTCGTGCCAGGGTTAGAAGGCGACGTGGTGAAAGGAGGAATCCACAGTTTTTTGTTGAAAGACATGTTCATCACACTGTTGGAGTTATGGTTTGGGGTGCTATAGCTTATGGTTCCAGGTCACCTTTAATCTTCATCAGAGGTAACATGAACGCGCAGCATTATATCCACGAAGTTCTAGAACCCCATCTTTTACCCTATCTTGAAACCCTGGCAGATCCTACTTTCCAACAAGATAATGCCCGACCACATGTTGCAAGAGTCACAATAGACTTCTTTCAACATAATGGTGTCACATTGTTACCATGGCCACCAATCCCGACTTATCCCCAATTGAGCACGTGCGGGATATAATGGGTAGGAGATTGCTCAATTTGCAACGTCCTCCTCAGACTCTAGAAGCACTTCGAGAGGAGTTGGTGGTTGCCTGACATGAGATACCACAGGAGGACATTTTACCGCCTGATCAGAAGCATGCCTAGGCGCGTTGGAGAATGCGTAGCACATCAGGGTACATCGACACATTATTTATTAAAGGTCAAAGGGCTTTAGAGCAGTGCAATCTTTTGAAATTTTTATCATTTACTTATTATGCTTCATTAAGTACTTATACAAAATTTTATTAAAATAAAACCATTTAAACTGGGTGTTCGGATGTATATGTCACTTAGTATATTTACATTAATTACATTTGTAGAATCCTGAAGAGCCTGAATTAGTAAAACAGCTTTCCACAAATTTATTGTATTTCGATATTCAATATTATAAAGATTGAAAGTGGTAATGAGCATATTATCTACTTGAGTGAGTCACAATCAGTTCCGAAACCAAAGTCATTAAGCCAAGGGTATATATTATCTCAATCAGATTTCACACGATATAGAATATTGATTAGTGTGAATCTTCAATTGTTTTTAGAGGAAACCGTGGGAGCTGAAAATTGATTCGTATTTAAGATACCATAAATTACAGAAGAAATCAAAGAAGTTAACCGCAAAGGCAAATTGAGTTTTTCTTCGATGCTAATTTATTACTTTCCGTCAATAAACGATGGCTTAATACTCTAATGAGAGACTAACGATAATAATTATCGTCAATCGATGTATATCCTTGTCGAAAGTAAATATACTTCGGCATGTGCATATATTTTCTTAAATATAAATACTAGGCTGTTCCGAAAAAAATGAAAGTTCTTTTCTTTGAATCTTATACTCGTATTTCTTAGATGTTTATCATTAAAACATTATTTACTAAATTTAATTTTTTTACAGTCAGGATATAGAGGGTGAGCCATCAATTGGTTTCTTATGTTGGTATTATTTTGACAGTTGGTAACACTTCCATGCTCAACATATTGACAGATATGGGGTTTATACCATTTATGTATGAAAAATAATATCGCTCAAATGTTCACCACGACTGGATTTACAGGCGTCCACCCGATGGTCGAAATTTTGAATGACATTTTGCAACATGGTCGGTTCTATGGCATTTATCTCGGCAATGATGTTGTTTTTGAGTTCTTGGAGGGTGGCTGGTTTGTTGACGTAGACTTTGCTTTTCAAATATCCCCATAAAAAGAAGTCCAAGGGAGTCAAATCTCACGATCTTGGTGGCCATGGCACATTTCCTCTGCGCGAAATCAACGCGATCACCGAAGAAGGACTGCAATCGATGGATATTGACGTTGGTTGTGTGGCATGTTGCACCGTCTTGTTGGAAATAAACATCGTCCATATCCATTCCTTCAAGTTGCGGCAAAAAATAGTCCTCTATCATCACGTGATATCGCTCAGAATTGACGGTAACGGCGTCCCCGGCCGCGTTTTCGAAAAAGTAAGGTCCGATGATGCCTTTTGACCACAACGCACACCACACAGTCACTTTTTGAGGATGCATCGGCTGCTCTTGATACTCACGGGGATTTTCGTTCGCCCAGATGCGGCAGTTTTGCTTGTTTACCGTCCCATTCAAAGTGAAATGCGCTTCGTCGCTGAACATGATTTTTGATGAAAAATTGGCATCAATTTGGCGGTGTTCAAGGAGCCAATCTGAGAACGTTCGGCGCGAAAGATGGTCGGCCCGACGCAGCTCTTGCGTCAATTGGATCTTGTAGGCGAACTGGTTCTCGAAATGCCCAATTCTTGGGATCGACGCGTTGTTGATTGTTTCGGATCGTCTCTCACACTCTCCTTCACAACAGCAATATTTTCCGGTGTGCGAACGCTCCTTGGCCGGCCAGAGCCTGGCAGATTTGCCACAGAACCTGTTGCCTCGAATTTACGCACCAGACGACCGATGGTTGTTTCGTTTGGGCGGTTGTTGCGACCGAAATGTTCACGAAGCGCGCGAAACATGTTTTTTATTTTTGCACCATTTTTGTAGTGCTCTTGAATAACTTTAACGCGGTCTTCCATCGAATACGACTCCATAGCGATCAATGGTAAACATTCAACTAACAAAATGACATGTCGGTGACAGAAAACAAAGATGGCGTCTATGTCAAATTGACGTTTACTTTCCTGCGTCCCTATTGGACAACCCATTATATTGTGTCAAACTTCCGGTGTGAGCAATGGATCGTTTTAATCTTGAAGAAAGGTGGAAAATGTTGAAAAACTATTTTCAAATTGCGAAAATTGAGAAGACTGTTTGGTCGGAATGAAGTATAAGAAAATTCGTGAAACTGGCGTGCTTGTGGATAACAGACGGTATGAGCGTGTTCGACCCGTACATGCAACGAAAACATTGCCGCTGTTGCCCAGAGTGTGTATGAAAACGGAAGAATGACAACTCGTCACAGAGCACAAGTGGGCATCAGTCGCACCTCTGTGCGTAGAATATTGCATAACTACCTGGGACTATTTCCTTACAAGGTGCAACTTGTGTAAGGGTTAAAACAAAATGACCATCCGCTTCGATATCGTTTCTCTGTGTGGGCTCTAAATCAGCTGGAAACGGACGTCAAGTTTGGTCGCCAAATCATCTTTTCGAACGAAGCCCATTTCCATCAGGGTGGTTGCGTTAACAAGCGGGACTGTTAGGGTTCTGAAAATCCACATGTCATAGGTAAAAACCAATGCATCTGGTACTGTTAAGGACACTAACGATCCTCAAAAAATTGATGCGTTTAAGGAAAACATCCGTCGAGCTATTGATGAAATAGACTCACAAACTAGGCAAGGCCAGTCGCGTCATTCAGCTGAAATTGTTTTTCATAAATAATCGGAAGATGTATTCTTTTGAATAAAGTATCAAGTGTTACATATTATATATTTTAGTACCAATTTGAAAAAGAAACCAACCCTTATATTGTAATAATAACAAATTTCCCGTCGGTTTGTTAACCGGTTTTTCAGTAGTTTCACATATTTGGTGAATTTTGTTATTAAATACATTGGAGGGGTCATTAAACAACTCTAAAAGATACTGTAGCTATTAAAAAGGCAAAGAGTCAAAAACGTTGAATTCTATCCTTGCATGATTAATGTAACAGAAAACTACTAAATTCATCTGTTATCGAATACTTGGAAAATACAGTTAAACTGATTTGATCATTACTGTCTGCTTTCAAGTCTTATTTATTTATTATATCGGGTTAAAAATAGCATCACTCCACCATTTCGTCACTATTAATGTTAAGCCAATTCTTTTGTAACCATAATCATGTATCGAATAAAGGCCATTTATTACTATTATTATTATTGTTTATTCTCCACAACCCTATATATTCAACTGGTTCTGTCCATGTGGGCCGGTTTTGGTTGGTCATTTTCATTATGGTACTCCGAAAATGTTATTATTATTATGTGAATGTGTTTAACTCTGTATTTTATTTATGATATTATACTAAGTGACATATAAATCCGAACACCCAGTTTAAATGGTTTTATTTTAATAAAATTTTGTATAAGTACTTAATGAAGCATAATAAGTAAATGATAAAAATTTCAAAATGATTGCACTGCTTTAAAGCCCTTTGACCTTTAATAATGTGTGGATGCACCCTGATGTGCTATGCATTCTCCAACGCGCCTAGGCATGCTTCTGATCAGGTGGTCATGTCCTCCTGTGGTATCTCATTCCAGGCAACCACCAACTCCTCTCGAAGTGCTTCTAGAGTCTGAGGAGGACGTTGCAAATTGAACAATCTCCTACCCATCATGGAGATCTTGGTGGCCATGGTAACAATGTGACATCATTATGTTGAAAGAAGTCTATTGTGACTCTTGCAAAATGTGGTGGGGCATTATCTTGTTGGAAAGTCGGATCTGCCAGGGTGTCAAGATAGGGTAAAAGATGGGGTTCTAGAACTTCGTGGATATAACGCTGCGCGTTCATGTTACCTCTGATGAAGATTAAAGGTGACCTGGAACCATACGCTATAGCACCCCCAACCATAACTCCAACAGTGTGATGAACATGTCTTTCAACAAAAAACTGTGGATTCCTCCTTTCACCACGTCGCTTTCTAACCGTGGCACGACCATCGTGCATGCCTACACAAAATCGAGACTCGTCACTAAAGACAATACTGTTCCATTCCTGATCCCAGAGTGGCCGTTGTCTGCACCACTCAAGGCGATTACGTCGGTGTTCTCGAGTTAAAGGGAGGACCCAGTGTGGCCGGTATGAAAACAAGCCAAAACTTCTCATTCGTCGGTAAACACTTCGCATGCCAATAGGGCTTCCGTGTTCTGCAAACCATTCATTTGCAATGGACCTGGAAGTGGAGAAACGGTCCCTTAAGGCCAATAATCTTAGGCGGCGATCTTCACGGTCTGTTGTTCTACGGCGGCTTCCAGTGCCCCTTGCTCTTTGCGTACGGCCTTCTCGAAGCCATGCCTGATAACACCTAACCACAGTGTCTACACTTCTTTGCACTCTAACTGCAATTGCCCGAAAAGAAAGTCCAGCTTCCCGAAGTCCCACTATACGGTCCCTATCAAACTCACTAAGTTGACGAAATCGTACAGGTCTCCGTACTCTAGGCATCGTAACCGATCGTAAAGGATGTCAAGAACCAAAGTCCGCCAACGTTGATTCTTTACTGCGGCTGAAATATTCATTTTTAGAGCGTTAGTGAATTAAAAAACAGCAGTATAAAAACCGGAATGTCCAACTGATAGGGCGGAAAATTTTTTCACTTGTTATTTACAGTAAGATAAATACATTCACCAACTTTTATTAAAATAAAACCATTTAAACTGGGTGTTCGGATTTATATGTCACTTAGTATATAACTGTTTACAAGTTTCTCAACGGCACGTTGATACGCCCGAAACAACACAACTTGCAATAATCAATGGTTTGAGCCATGTCTGGTGTAATTTACTCATACAAATCATGAGCTACGTAGCTAAAAAAGGACGAAATTTTCGGTATCACCGTGTAAGGCAACAGCACTCAATTTCTGAGACCATTTGGGTTGTTTTGAAAGCGTGACCTCAAATTTCGAAAAAAAGACACCGTCCAATTTTTTAAATATTTGGCATCCAGTTTTTAAGCACTCGTACTAGAATATCAAATTTATTCGTTATTTTATTAAATAAATAAAAACAACTATAGGAATATTTAAGAAATTAACCATTCAAAACTTTAGCTTAAGCAACATTAAAACATCACTGCTGAGTTGAAAGGTAATCATCCAGTTAGTTTTGAAACTTTAACAAGAGCGCTTTCTATACAGAATATAGGGTGTCCGCAAAGTTGGGGTTTTCCTTTACACGACGTGTAGATCTTGAAAACATAAGCAATTTTTCTTAGTACCATATACACCAATGTCTTAAGGGAACCGAGATAAAGGGCTCTGCAACATCAAAAATATCTGAATACCGTCCTGTAGCCGCGACATCCCTGAGTGGTACAAGGTCACTGGCTCAACCCGACGACAGAACTGGGTCGGGTCAGTATGCAACCTCCAACCGACGGTTACGGTCACGCGTGTAGAGGTAAACGAACCCGTATAATCGATTGCGTTTCAAAAAAAAATAATAATGGCACACTCATACACCAATAATGAACTCGTTGATATGTTTTTAATTTATGGCGAATGTATTCAAAATGCTACAGAGGCGTCGCGAGTGTATGCAGATCGTTTCCCTAGATGACATCATCCAAGGCCCCGCAGATTTGTGTACCTGGTCCAGAGAGTCAGGGATACGGGCCATTTGGAGGAATTTCGAGGTGGGCACAGTGGGAGGCCTAGACAACCACGAATGGTGCAAGTTGAGGAAGAACTACTGAATCGCATAGACGAGAATCCCTCAACAAGCACTAGAGACGTGGCTAGAGAAGTGCAAGTATCAAAAACTAAAGTGTGGCAAACGCTGCGTGAAGAGGGGTTGTATCCGTTTCACGTCCAACGTGTACAAGCCCTTCAACCTGACGATTTTCCAGCAAGAGTGCGGTTTTGTGAGTGGTTGTTGCAACAACATGACAATAATCCGGACTTTTTGAAGTGCACATTGGTGACAGACGAATCTACGTTTACGCGTAATGGGGTGAATAACTTTCGCAACACTCATGTTTGGTCAGTAGAAAATCCGCACGCTGCCCGTCGGGCACATTTTCAACAAACATTTTCGGTGAATGTTTGGGCTGGCATGGTGAACGGTATGCTCATTGGACCATTTATTCTCCCAAATCGATAGGACGGGATGCAATACCTAGACTTTTTACGCAACATTTTGCCTTCCTTGTTTGCCTGCATCTGCTCGGTAGCGCATCAGCTGATTTCATTTTCTGTTGGAGCGGTATGATTTCGGGCAGAGACGTACTTAGCTATTCTCGTCAACTGGAGAGTGAGCACTTTTTCCTTTTTTTTTTTCACTTGGTCGCCCTCGTTTCACTACACATTACCTTTGTTATTTCAAGGGTAGTTGTTTCTGAAAAGGAAAACCCCAACTTTGCGGACACCCTGTATAGTCCACGTAAAATAGAAGTGCGTTGCCGCTAAGCGTGTTATGTGTGATTGTGCGGCCGGCAGTTGGAGAGAAACTTTACCTCCGACTGTCGAGCTAGTTTGACTACAGATCTTACACCAAAAATACTTACTGAAATGACACCTGTAGATAGTGAGCCTTTCGATAGGCAACCTAAACGTAGCCAAATTGTTCAGGCCGATACTCATGCTGGCTAGATTCGTGTTATTGCAACTGACACTGATCCCGAAGTCGGATTCGACATCGCACGTGCACGGATGCAGTAGTAGTTTGTCTTTCGGACACCTATAGGAAGGTCCTGGTGGGATGTACTCAGCCGTTACCAATTCGAGGAGCAGCAGGATGAGCAGCAAAGGGAGGCGGACGGAGCTGGTGAACATGGTCGATAGGCTGTCGAAACTGAAAGAAGAAAACAAACACTCAACGATGTAATCATTGAAATTGATGGTCACTTTGTTTTCGGCACGTTAGTGATAGGTATTTATGTAACAAGGGCGTAAAGTGGGGGCTGTAACACACTTTTTACGCCCGAGTTAATTTTATTCACCACAAGCTACGTCGGCTTATTTTTCTTTTGTGAGTGGATCAGTTGTGGAGGCACCATACAGATAACTCCGATTTTGTTATGTCAATGAACGAAGCTTTGGGTTTTTAAAGCTTCAAGACTACTTGCAAGCTACAATGTATCTACAAGTCGCGGTTTGAAAATGTTTTTGGTTTTTTTGCTCATAAAGAGTCAAAAAAATGTATTTCGACAGGTTATCAAAATACGATCAGAAACTACTACGTACTATTGGATAATTCCTACAACAAAAAATTAAATGACTTCGCTTCCATCGTTCAAGTTTCAACTATGTTTGGCCAATGCAGTAGAAAAAAAAAAGTCAAATTGGTTGACTCTGCAGTACATTAGTTTATTGATGAGTTCCGACAGATTCTTAAAAACTCTAAACCCTTTTGTCCTCGCAATACTAGTAACTTATACTGAAAATTGTTGAAATTTCATTTCTTTTTCTCTTTCTGACTTAGTCACCAAGGGTTACATACCCAACGGAAATAGGCGACAGAAACGTTTATTGTTTCGTTTCATAATAATTAAGTGGCAAGTTACAAAGATGTTCTGATGAAATCATTCTTAGAAATTTTTTAGAAGGCCTGGTCACTAAAAATATTCAAATATTGAGTAAGACAATCATCAGAATGCACTAAATTATATGGTTTTAATTTTAGTTCCGCTTCACTTCTTCAAGTAATCGAAGATTACTCAGTTTCTGCGTATCAATGTGGCATAAAACGAATGCAGCTTATTAAATGTATAAGTATAGTGTTTGAAGAAAGTTTTACACTGACCTACTACGTGAGTTTACATGTAGAAAAGGCGATAACGTCGTATTCGTGGGTGATATTATTCTACTCGATTTTTTTCCATAATCTGGTTTATTGTATGCCCTTTAACCTGAAACAAGATCGGTGCAAAGGAACCACGCACAAAGCATATGGAAAAATTGACTGAGACCCGATTTGTCTAAAAATTCAGTACGATATAATTCTTGCCTTTCCGAACTGATCTGCAAAAATGGCGAATGTGTTAATTGTATTCTTCAAATCCAAAAACTCTTACAATCCGTATACTAAAAGAAATAAATCGTTAAAACACCTTGTAGGAAGGTGTTGGGAGATGTCATGTTGAACGTCAGTTTCGATGCAATTTGATCTTCATATGCTTATATACTAAGTGACATATAAATCCGAACACCCAGTTTAAATGGATTTTACTGTAAATAACAAGTGAAAAAATTTTCAGCCTTATCAGTTGGACATTCCGGTTTTTATACTGCTTTTTTTTTAATTCACTAACGCTCTAAAAATGAATATTTCTGCCGCAGTAAAGAATCAACGTTGGCGGATTTTGGTTCTTGACATCCTTTACGATCGGTTACGATGCCTAGAGTACGGAGACCTGTACGATTTCGTCAACTTAGTGAGTTTGATAGGGGCCGTATAGTGTGACTTCGGGAAGCTGGACTTTCTTTTCGGGCAATTGCAGTTAGAGTGCAAAAAAGTGTAGACACTGTGGTTAGGTGTTGTCAGGCATGGCTTCGAAAAGGCCGTACGCAAAGAGCAAGGGGCACTGGACGCCGCCGTAGAACAACAGACCGTTAATATCGCCGCCTAAGATTATTGGCCTTAAGGGACCGTTTCTCCACTACCAGGTCCATTGCAAATGAATGGTTTGCAGAACACGGAAGACCTATTGGCATGCGAAGTGTTTACCGACGAATGATAAGTTTTGGCTTGTTTTCATACCGGCCACACTGGGTCCTCCCTTTAACTCGAGAACACCGACGTAATCGCCTTGAGTGGTGCAGACAACGGTCACTCTGGGATCAGGAATGGAACAGTATTGTCTTTAGTGACGAGTCTCGATTTTGTTTAGGCATGCACGATGGTCGTGCCAGGGTTAGAAGGCGATGTGGTAAAACGAGGAATCCACAGTTTTTTGTTGAAAGACATGTTCATCACACTGTTGGTGTTATGGTTTGGGGTGCTATAGCTTATGGTTCCAGGTCACATTTAATCTTCATCAGAGGTAACATGAACGCGCAGCGTTATATCCACGAAGTTCTAGAACCCATCTTTTACCCTATCTTGACACCCTGGCAGATCCAACTTTCCAACAAGATAATGTCCGACCACTTGTTGCAAGACTCACAATAGACTTCTTTCTACATAATGATGTCACATTGTTACCATGGCCACCAAGATCTCCCGACTTATCCCCAATTAAGCACGTGTGGGATATGATGGGTAGGAGATTGCTCAATTTGCAACGTCCTCCTCAGACTCTAGAAGCACTTCGAGAGGAGCTGGTGGTTGCCTGGAATGAGATACCACAGGAGGACATTGACCACCTGATCAGAAGCATGCCTAGGCGCGTTGGAGAATGCGTAGCACATCAGGGTGCATCCACACATTATTAAAGGTCAAAGTGCTTTAAAGCAGTGCAATCATTTTGGAATTTTTATCATTTACTTATTATGCTTCATTAAGTACTTATACAAAATTTTATTAAAATAAAACCATTTAAACTGGGTGTTCGGATTTATATGTCACTTAGTATAGTTCCTAGTGTGCAAATAGTACATTCTGCGTTTGCTTGCATACTGTTTTTTCAATGTCGAAGATATTTTGGTTTTAAATGGTGAATTATTCTTTTGAATAAAACAGGTTATACAGTTTCTTCAGTTAAACTTTCGAACGCATTGCATCTAGTTACTAGAAGATGACGATTAAATTTGCACTACGCAAAAAACTGCATGTAATTGCTTGGAAACCGAATCACCTTAAAAAAAACTGATTAAAGTGACTGAATATCCGAATTGCCGTATTCTTTTAATTATAACGAGTCTTGCGGAAGGTGGGAATTATTGCTCAAGAGTTCAATAACTGCAGTTTTTACGACAAGTTGTTGCCAATTCTGTGAAAATGTCACGGCTCAATTTATTTTCTGCTCTAGCTGTTCCATCTTTGATGATTGCGCGGGATAGATTGAGAACTGCTATTCAAAAATTCTAATGAACTGTCACTGAGTCAGTTTGGTTATTTTCCAATAGGACCAGCACGAAATCCAGACTGATGGACAGTAAGCAAATTGTTCATTTCTAAATATTCAATTAGTCGGAGATCAACAGCTTTTTCTAATATCTTTGAAAAGAGACACAGTATGCTGACGGGTCGTAAATGATCAAGAGTTATGGGATTTTTTAGTTTGGCTAGAGGAAGAATTATTGCTTCTTTCCAGACATTAAGCTCCCAGATTCCAAACATATATTAACAATATGAGTTAGATACTGAAGTACTTCAGGTAAACAAACATCAAAATAGGACCATATTTATTGGATAATCGTCTCAATGCTTTTTTGCGTCTAGAGCTATTAAAAATTTTTAGTTTTTGATTCTAGGATTATGAATATTTTATCGATAACACGGACTATGTGGGCTAATGTAACACAGGGATCTGTTCTGGGGCCAATACTCTAAGCGTTTATTATTAATAACAACCCATACCATACTAACTGTATGATACGGTGTGAAGTAAAAAACCGCGCTAGTTATTAATAATAATAATAATGAATTTATTTTCCATTAGACATGCATGAACGTGTATAGGTTTCGTCAAAAAGATACAATAAGTAAATATGTACAAAGTAAATAAATAAATAAAAAAAAAACAAACAAATAACATCCAACAACAAACAAGTTAAAATTAGTGATAAAAACGATATTTAAAAACTGACAAAGTCGCTAATTGCATAAAAACAGTTACTTATAAAGTAGCTTTTCAGCTCAGATTTGAATTGGCCTATTGAGGTGATCCTTTTTATGGAGTCAGACAGGTTGTTAAAAATTTTAGGACCTAAAATACATGTTGATCTGCTGCCTAACTTATAACGCGCAAAAGGTATATGGATGTCGTTTTGTCTGCGAGTGCCCATTTGATGTATATGACTATTCAAGGTGAAATCATCTTTGTTTAAAAAAGTATAGATATCCATATTGTAGAGAAAAAGCGAAGGCAGTGTCATTATTTTTAATCTCTTGAATAATTCTCTGCAACTATAAGTGCTGCTTACTCCCACCATACACCTCACCAGCCGTTTTTGACTTAGGAACACCTTAGAAGCGTTCACCGATGAACCCCAGAAGCACAAAGCATACAGCATGCGAGACTCAACCTGACCATGATACAACATCAATAGCTGATTCTCTGTGAAAACAGATCTCAGGTTTTTGAATAAATATGCTTGTGAATTTATTTTTGACGATAGATAATCGCAATGTCCTTTAAAGTTGAGACATTGGTCTAAGTGGAGCCCTAAAAACTTAGTGCTTTTATCACTCTGCAGTGCTGAACCGTTCAGAACAAGCTGAATCGCTGGTATCGACTTTTGATTGTTATGGAACCTTATAACTGTGGTCTTCTCGCTATTAAGAAGTAACTGATTTTCTTCAAACCAGCTATTGATGTTGTACACTAAGGTGTTACATTTATTTATTAAATCAGCCTCGTCTTTATTTGATATAATTGTGGAGGCATCGTCTGCATACAACGTGAAATGTGCTTCAGGGAAACATTGCTCCAGGTTATTTATATAAAGGGAAAACAGCACTGGCCCCAATATAGATCCTTGTGGTACGCCTATATTTATGTTAATCATACCCGATTTGACCTGCTTCAGTTGACCAGCGTTGTTGTGTGTTATTGCCACGAATTGTGACCTATTCTGCAAGTACGATTTTATCCACAGGTAGGCTGAACCACCAATTCCATAGTCTGTTAGTTTGGCTAATAGTATGTCATGACTGACACAGTCGAACGCCCTACTGAGGTCACAAAATA